ATAGGTTGGAGATGCTCACTAAGAAATAATATCAACATGGCCTTACGCAAACGCTTTAAATAACCAAAAATAAGAAACGGTGCGGTGCGGGAGTGCGGGGAAAAAAGTGTAAACAGAAACAGACGACGTGTCAGCTGTCAAATTCAGAAATATGACAAGCAGAATCAAATTCATAGCGATTTCCATTTGCAGAATCAGTGCAGAAAAAAATGTGTTTTTGTCGTTATATTTTCATGCTTTCACCAGAAACGATTCGGAAACGATTCTGAACAAATTCCACCGGTCCCAGGCTAAGCTAACTTCAAGTTTGAGACATGACATTCGCAATTCGTTCACGTATTCGACAGTCTGGAGCAAGGTTCTGGAGTTTTTGTTTGGTTCCAAAACTGTTCGCGATTAAATCGGATCCTGAACCCATTCACAAGTTGGGTTCGGGTTGCTCACTCCGAGTTACTCCGATCGCACTCCAGCCGTTATCTGATAAGCTAAAAGGTAATACCCGAACGGCTGAAGTGCGAACGGATCACTCGGAGTGCAGCTATAACTGGGCATGCGCTCTACGATAGTCCTCAATTAGTTCCGGACTGGTTCGGAATAGGTTCAAAATATGATCCGCGAACAAAGCTATTAGCAGCGAGTGGCACTTCAAAAAAATTTAACGTCAGCTGTCAAAAAAATGTTGAGAGCTGTCATTCGACCGGAAATGGTTGCCATAGGGTCGTTCCGCCCGCTTACTAATACAAGCTACAACCACTTTAACCCGGTGCATAGCAAATAATAGAAATTTTCCAGCGGTTTTGCAGGTTCCCGACAAGGGCAAACATTGAAGGTAGCTGGTATCGACCTAAGAAATGATTGCTTTTCTCATGGACAGTTATATGTGGCATGTTCAAGAGTCAGTTCGTCCGATAGTCTTCATATTCTGCAGCCACAAAGCAGAACAAAAAATGTGGTTTACAGAGAGGTGCTGCAAAAATAAGAGTTACATGACCATATGTCTGACGCAACTATTCCCTTAGCTCTTTGAAAGAAGATTACCTAATGCTACCTACACCCTACACCTACAAAATTTGTATAGGGCGTGCGAAGCCGCTGACAACAGCTAGTAGTAAATAAACTTCAAACTCGGGAAATTTCCTATCAAAATATAACACGTGCATAAAATATTTCCTAAGGGAAATTTTTAAAAATTTCGTCTTTAGTCAATTTTTTTAAACAAAATCATAAGTGCATAGCACTTTGGCTTCAGACAAAATTTTCAAAAATTTCCGGAAATATTTTACGCACTAGTTATATTACTACTGGAAATTCCTCGGCATTCCACTTGTGGAATTTTTTGGAATTTTACCAAAATTCTGAAGAACTGAAATTTCATGTTGGGAATTTCGATGTTATTTCAGAATTCCTCCATGCAATTCATTTAGGATTCCGTGTAATTCGATCGGAATTTCACTGAAATTTCATGTAATTCGAGAGGAACCAAAATGAATTGTGAATTCTATGGAAACTCCGCAAAAATTTCACATGTAATTCCTTTTTCAGAATAACATAATTCTACCGAAATTCCACTAAATTATGGAATTCTTAAAAACTTGAACAGATTTTTGTAGATTCCAAAGGATTTTTGGGAATTTCAAAGAAAATATCTTTCAGGAATGTTAATGATTTTATGAGATTTTGCAGGATTTTTTCAGTTTTAATAAAATTTTGTGAGATTTTGTAGGATTTTGTGCAATCTTGTGGGATTTTTTTGAATTTTTAAGGATTTTAAAGATTTTTATAGGGATTTCAAGTAGATCTTGTGATTTTGACCACTTATAGTACACCGATTTTGACCAGTTTATATATGTATATGAAATGTTGCTACTACATGTGACTGCACAAAGTTAATAACGATTGCAAGCAACTGTATTATGACTGCATGCGGAAATTTAAATTTGGAAATCTTTACACGATTTTACAGGAGTTCAAAAGATTTTAGATTTTCAAAATTTTAGGTGATTCTGGAGCATTTTAGGGGTTTTTAAAAAGTTTTTACAAAGGATTTTCAGAAATTTCAACAGATTTTTGGGGATTCCAAAGGATTTTTGGGAAATTCAAAGAAAATATTTCTTATAGGAATGATGATTTCATAAGATTTTGCGGGCTTTTTTTTAGTTCCTTATTTTGTAGGATTTTATGCGATTTCAAGAGATTTTGTTAAATTTCTGAAGATTTTAAAGATTTTTAGGGTTTTCAAGTTTTTTGTGAGATTTTCTGGTGTTTTTGACCAACTTGTACACAAATTTTGACCAGTTAACTTGAATACTTCCGGATCATCGGTGTTAGGGCCTCTAACTGAGGTGTCAACATTTAATTTAGGGATAGATCATTGGATCATAAAGGGAATGGGGATGTCACTGCTAAATAATGCACTCACACTTCCAGTTTTATATCTCTCTATTGTTGCCAAAATAATCGTTTAATAAAGTAATAAATACTGTAACTACATTCAAGTACTTTTAATTATTCACAGGTTAGTTAACAAGTCGCATTTGAGTTATTCGAGAACATTCACTAATCGGTATAAATTCACTAGTTGCTAAGTGCTCAATAGTCAATTTAACAATAATTGTCAGTATTAGTGGAACGCTAATATTTTAATTGAGAGCACAAGATAAAGTTTATTCTTAATAGAAATCTTCGGGAGTTGAGAGTTTTTATATTTTTAGACAGTCCTTAAAAAAGGGGAGTGTGATTAACTCAATGTTTTACGCGATATTATATCACATGAGTTTTCAAGCCAGCAGCCAGAGAGATAAAAAGATAAGTCTTTTTATTTAGAGAGCGAGAGAGAGACTGCACAAGGGTGCAACTAGAGAGAATAATTAAATAATTAGAGAAAAGTGAGCAGGTTCAAACTTGTATAGAGCTAGACGTTTTTACGCACTATTTACTGCTAGTGAAACCACACTACTAAAATCACACTGCTAAAAATCACACTGCGAAGTGAAAAAGATAAGGAATGCATTTTTTCCCTTAGCGACAACAACAACCAGACTGGGTCAATGCGTACAGCCTGGTACGGCGCCAGCGGCTATTGAGCTTTCACGGCGGGGGGCTTTTTTGCAACGTTGCCACTGTGATCATAAAAAATAAATACGATTGTTTGGCTGTTTCCACAACAATCGGATTGACGAAAAAACGAATGCATGAAAAGTAAGCTTAACACTTTTTTTAAAAACATCACAACTCCAATTCTATTATAAATAGAAAGCTGGAATTTTCAGTGAATTTTATTCTAGTAGCGAGTTTTTCCATCATGAGATTTAGGATTTATTGAACCAAATTTCTTACTGTAAATCATTTCTATTCGTTGCCCTTTCATGAAAATTTCACAATTTTCTGTATCCAATGATCAAGTCATAACATTTGATCCAAATCTTAAAAACTTCCATTGATGCTTATAAAATATTTCCAAATTGCTTGTGCCAGAGATCCTATTGATTCCTTTGAACCATGAATAATTTTGAATATTTGCAACATCAACCCACAACTTTTTTTAATTTGATTAAAATAATTATTGCTTTTTTATTGTGGTACACAATTTGGCAGCCCTACTCATCCAATCTACGTACAGAAATAAGGTGAATCCCAATCCAGAAATTCCCTTAAACATCCTGAAGGTTATTTTATACAAATTCTCTATACACTCCTATTAAGATATTTGTAGATAGACATTTCCGAGGGGTCAACCACTCTGTAAAAATGTGTACACGTATTGCCAAAATGTCGGTATTTCGCTGGTACTTCGGGAAATTCCAAGTTTTTCGGTGAGGATTTCGATGGTAATTCGTACCTAGTTTTTTTGCGGTATTGCGTAGTACTGCGAAGTATTTTGTGGGATTTCGAGGATATTTATGGTATTTCGGGGTAATTCGAAGTATTTCGCGATGACCCGAGGTATTTCGAGCTATTTAGAAATATTTTTTTTTATGTACCGAGAACAGTTAATTTCTCAGTACCTTAAATTGTAATAATATTATAGAATGGAAATTATAGTCCATCTTTGAACAGGCTAAACAGAATTTGGATTTACTGTAGATTAATTGGAACAAGTGGCAAGATATTCCTGATATGTTCAAATAATCAATGTCAGTGAGTTAATAAGTAGTAGGTATTTAACAGCCTTGTAGAACATTCAACTACATCACTAAGTACCTATTGATTTAATCGAGGATTTAATTGTCTGAATCCTGTTTGTCCTCCGAATAGAATATATCTATCATATCAGAAGACAAAAATCCGAGCAAAAATTCTCTACCGCGATCCCCAAGAAGAATCGTTATCAACGAGAATTTTTTAGTATTTCTGGACTTCGCGCGGTAATTCGAGGGTATTTTCATGGGATTTCGCGTACTTCGACGGGAATTCCTGGTATTTCGATGTACTTCGTGGTATTTCTAGGTACTTCGAAGTATTTCGCAGGTAATTCAGGCCGAGTGTACACGTATTTCGGGAAGTGGTTGACCCCTTGGACATTTCCAAATTACTCTGTTTTGTAGCACTTGTTACCTACCTATATTAGTTCTCTAAAATTCTACCCCATAATTTTCCTTTCTCTTTTCAGGTGCACCTATCCTTGTATCCGAAAAAACCCGGCAAAGCCTAAAACTTGAAGAATGGCGAAATTACCGTCAAAAAAAAGTAGCAAGCTTTTTTTTTTCAGCTCTATTCTTTTGAGTTTTAAGTTACCGTGCATGGAGTAGATCAAAGCCTGCTAGTTAACTTTTGTTCTGGCTTGAAAAAGATAATGACGAAAAAAAGGCATACATATTTGAAAAGCAAATTTATTAATTAAAATTTCAGGAATAATAATAAATTCGAATCAAATGATTCAACCTACATATTGTTGGAAAACCAAATATAAATTTAATTATTTATTCTGGAATCTCCATTTAATTGAAATTTGAATTGAATTTTTTTTTTTTTTTTAAATAATAATTATGAATGGTACTTACATTTGCGTTTGTGGTTTGTTGTCCGACTTTTTCCTTTTCTGTTTAATTCCGGTGAGAGCATTCATTTTTGCCCACACCGGCTCTTGGAGCTCACACGAGCCAACCCTGAAACAAAAACAATCAAATTCAATTACACATAATTAATCGGTCATATATGAATAAAACAGAAGCAAATGCTTTTGCTTAAGTTTTTTGAGATAAACATATTCAGCTTTAATGCAGCAAAAAGAGACGGAGTAAAACTATTTGCGATACTTTATTCATACGACTTAGATTTTTGAATAGGGCAAAAACGACCTCTTTTTACACACAAGGTCTCGGGCTTATTGCACCCGCCGCGCTAAAAATATTCGCACATAGATTAAAAATGCATTCAAATATCGCGTCAACATGTTAGAAAAAAATAATTCATAAATTTTGTTTGTATTCGAAAAAAAAAAAATGGAATTAATCGGCTGTTGATCCGCATTTCGAAAAACAATAATGGTAAAATACAAGTCTCCAATCCTCATCAATTTTGTTTGTCTCAAAAATAAGAACCCAAATTCCAAAATAAACTTCAGGTTTCAGGGGTAGAAAACTATTATTTTCTTGAGTCTTCACCCGGACTAAATTATTTACGTTCTTCGGTGCAAATTACCCTGACTATTAGATTTATCGTTTGCGTTTTTACTGCACGTCAATTATACTTTCGCGAATTAAAGGTTGAAATAATTAAAAAAGTAACATCTCATTTTCGATTTTTTAATTAGAACTGGTTGGATATTATTGGAAATAAAAAAATGTTCAGTTCCACACGCAACTACGCTCTTTGGAAGTATTTTTAATGAATTGTATCACTAAAGCCCGGTTTGATAAACTGTTTTTTCAAACTATTGTAAGACCACCTTACAGTCCTGACTTATCCCCTTGTGAATTTGGTTCACTATAGCAATCCTAGAGGTTCAATTTGGACGCAAGACAAAATATTCATGTGATTATCAAAATTTAAAGATGGCGGGCGATGATGACGGGAATAAATCTGCTGTCTCCAAGTTGTGTAAATATTGTCAGAAATCAGTAGTAACCACAGTGGCGAAATGTGTCGATTGTGGAGAATGTTTTCATACATCCTGTGCCCTAAGGGTGGCTGGATTGGTAGCTGTGGGAAAGAATAATCTGGTAAAATGCTGTAAGACCAATATTGAGGTTATGCAGAATAATTCTGAGAAGGCCGAGGAGAGTGTCCAAAAGATGTTGGAAGTCAAGGATGAAGTAATCAAAGGTAAAGATGATGTTATCAGTGAATTGAAAGCCAAGGAAAGTCTATTATATAAAAACATAAAGCTACTTGAAGAAAAAATAGAAAAAAAATCAATAATAAAAGTATTAGTATTGGTAATGTTGGCACACCTGCCAAGACAAGCCCGAATCCACCAGGTACTTATGCAACCATGGCTGCATCTGGAACCTCAGCCCCCTCCATGAACGGAATGTCAAAGTCAGTATCCTCAACATCAAAACGAGACAATAACCAACAAAATGATAAAAATGAAAACAATAACAAAGTAAACAATCCATTGTATTCTGCAAAATCTGTCAATGCAGCAATATTCCAGGCGCAAGCAGTTAATAAGCTGCAAGAAATTCAGCAACTGGGTAGGCCGGAGCTCGAGCCCGAACCTAGAGATGGCAATATTACTGAGTGGCAAATATCAAGGCCCCGACGATCACGTCGATTTGTTGTGGGACGAAATGACGATAAAAATAACCAAATTCAAGCAGTACCAAAATTCTCCACACTGCATGTGACCAGACTGGCACCTGGGACAAAACCACAGGAGCTTCAGGCATTTCTTTTACCCAGCTTCCCCGAAGTTAGGTGTGAGGAGCATGTATCTAAGCACCCTGAGATTTACACATCAATGAAGGTTACCATCAAACAGCACAACTTCAAAAATGCATGGAGGCGTGAAGTCTGGCCAAATGGAGCTATAGTTTCTAGGTTTTTTGCAGGGAGAAGGATGCTACCGAATTAGGAAGATCCTTGAATGAGAAACCAACCTCAGGCAAACAAACAATCAAACTGGATTTGCAAGTCTACTATCAAAATGTTCGAGGTCTTCGTACAAAGGTTAGTAAGCTATACACTAATATTTAAGCAGAAGACTATGATATAATTGTCTTCACTGAAACCTGGCTAACAGACGATTTCCATGATGCAGAACTGTTTGACGACAGATATGCTCTTATTAGGAAAGACAGAAGTCATGGCCGAAGAGGAGGGCGCAAAGAAGAATTTAGGCATGGAATGTGTCCCTTTAAATATTCCTAAGGACTCTAGTCTTGAGTGCTTACTGGTAAAAATTAAGTTTAAGAAGAGTATGTTTTATATGTGTGTTATTTATATTCCACCCAATGTCGATTTTAATATATGTGCAATTTTTTAATATGTTTGAAGCTATCATGGATAAGGATGTAAATATTGTAATTTTAGGGGATTTTAACCTACCATTTTACACAACAGAGGGCTGTGAAAAAAGTAAGTTGTTGAATAATTTTTTAAGCTTCTATAATTTGGATCAGTATAATACTGTTTTTAATAAAATGCAAAGGCAACTTGATCTTGTACTGTCCAATATACCTATAATGAGTTTGGAAAAATCTGATTGCCCAATCTTGGAGGAAGATCAATATCATCCAGCTTTGAGTATGGCTGTGTCTGTATCACTGGAACGCGGGACGGGTCATCTTTGTAGCAAGCAAGAGTATGTTTATGATTATTCACGAGGTGATTTTGAGATGTTGTACAGATTACTGAGGGATGTTGATTGGGCGGATCTTCATGGGACTGATAGTGTGGATGCATGTACTTCTTTGTTCTATGAGAAGATTTTTGCGTGTTTGGACCGAGCAATACCCAGAAGGGTAGTTAAAAGAGGGTCTTATAGAGGTAGTACCTATCCAGTATACTTTTCTTTGGCATTGAAAAAAAAATATATTAAATTGAAAAATCATCTTCACAGGCAAATTAAGAAAGGTTGTGCCAACTTACAGGTAAAGAATAGCTACAAGAACCTCAGAACTAAAGTTAAGTATCAAACTGCGCAAGAGTTTCAGGCTTATCATGAAACCATTGAGGGCAAAGTCAACATAGACCCAAGCAGCTTTTGGGACTTTGTAAGGTGCAAGCGAGCAAGATCTGGTATTCCCTCAGAGGTCTGTTATGGGGGTTGTGTGGTGAGTGGTGCCCAGGATGTGGCTGACACATTTACTCTTTATTTCAGCTCAGTGTTCCAGCGGTCTGAGAGTTCTAATAATGACACGAATGATGGGCGTAACGGTAGTTTCGCATTCTCCCCTATCACAGAGGAATAGATCATGGCAAGCATTAAGAAGTTAAAGCCAAAAAGGGCAACTGGTAGTGATAACATCCCCTCATATATCTATAAGGGATGCTCTGATATCCTGTGTGCTCCATTGATGACACTTTTCAACTTGTGTCTGAGAATGAGCAAGTTTCCTGAAGCATTGAAGTGTGCAGCGGTGACTCCTGTCTTCAAATCGGGGGACGTCAACCTGGTTGACAATTATAGGCCAATTAGTGTCCTTAATTCACTTGCTAAAATTTTCGAAAATATATTGTATCAGGATATCATGAGCTTCTTTATGAATGATTTTTCTCCACAGCAGCATGGTTTCCTGCCTGGTGTTTCAACTGTCACCAATCTAACATCTTGACAGAAGCCGCAGCCAAGGCTGTGGATAGTAAGGAACAGTTAGATGTTGTGCTAACAGACTGTGCAAAGGTTTTCGATAGGGTTGACCATGTTCTGCTGGTGGATAAACTGGGCAAGTTTGGATTTTCACTGAATGCATGTAAATTTATGTCATCCTATCTCATCATGAGACCCCAACAAGTTAAGGTTGGTAAGGAATTATCAAGGCAATACATAGCTACATCCGGGGTGCCACAGGGTAGTAAGCTGGGTCCCTTGTTGTTCTCAATTTTCATAAATGATCTGCCCGACTGCATAAAACATTCAGAGTGCCTTCTATTTTCGGATGACTTCAAAATATTTAAGCATATAGCATCCCCAAGTGATTGTCATGAGCTGCAACATGACCTGGGTTTGGTGTCTCAGTGGTTTAATATTAATAAAATGTCTTTAAATGTTAGCAAGTGTCATGTTTTGAGTTTCATACGTAAAATACAATTTACAAATTTTAACTACAGGATTGACAACATTGCACTGAGTAGAGAGAATAAATGTAGGGACCTAGGAGTTTGCTTCCAAACAAATTTAAGATTTGGCCAGCATTATGAAGTCATTGTCAATAAATCATATAAGCTTCTTGGTTTTGTAATCAGGAATACAAAATACTTTAAAAATGTCAGGACAATAATAACTTTGTATAATGTTCTGGTTAGACCTAATTTCGAGTACGCCTCAATTATTTGGTCACCACAAACAATGTGCCATGCTGACATGATTGAAAAAGTGCAAAAGAGATTCTTAAGGTACCTGTATTTGAAAACTCACAAAGTGTATCCTTAGATGGTCTCCTATAATAGTATGCTGGTAGAATTTAAAATGGTGAAATTGAGTGTCAGGCGTAGTTTGAATGATGTTTTATTTATTTACAATATTGTTAACAACTTAAAGTATAAAAAATGTTCCTTAATTAATGATATAATGTTTCTAGTTCCTAAAATTAATTTAAGAATAAGGGATAATAAACTTTTTCAATGTCTACCCTCAAATAGTTCTCCTATAAAGCGCATGATGCGTGAATGTAATTTTTTTATTGAGGAGGGTGATATAGACCTCTTCAGTACGACAGCAGAACAAATTAAGTGTGTGATATTGAATAATAATGTATTGTGATATTTGTGATCGCCTATCTATAGTGATGAGTGAATCACTTTTTTCTCTTTTTTTTATGTTTTTATATTTTTGGTTTATTGTTTCTGTTCCTCGTTTGTTTTTTATATTTTTATATTTTGCCTCTTATTTTATACATAGTCTTAATTATTAGTTTAGATTAAGTCTAGTTTATCCAGTAAGCACTCTTACATTTAAGTACATTTACATGTGTTTGTAGGAGTATAAATGAATAAAATA